GACGCTGGCCGGCATGTCCGAGTCCGAGTCCGAGATCTCCCCGTCCTCCGCATCCTGCTCCATGCGCCGCGCCTCCAGCGCCATCTTCCCGCCGAGCTCCCGGGGAGGCGGGAACCGCCAGCGCTTCCGCTCGCAGGGAAGGGGGTGGGCAAAGCCAATGGCACCGCCCACTTCGCCCGTGCTGGGAGCGACCGCGGGGCTCACTTGCCCCAACGTGCCTTGCGCTGGGCGAGCGGGAGGGCCGCAGGGCATGCCGGGATATGTAGTCTTTTTTTGAAACCCTCCCCCCCCCCGTGAAAGGCCTGGCTCAGTGGCTGGGACTGTCTCAAGGGGCCTGCCACAGGCACGTTCCCCGTTCCTGACGTCATCGTGCCCCATCCTAGGGCATGGGCCATCACATCAGGTGCCTGCATGCCAGCGTCATCCCACTGCTTTGCCAGAGCATGTCGCCCTGTCACCACTGTGTTGGGAGCTTGATAGAAAAGATCCCTCTGGCTCTTTGTGAGTAGGGTTGTCGGGTGTCAGGTTTTGAACCAGGCAGTCCAGTATTTGAGCTTTCTGTTTGGGAAACAAATTGAGAAAATATAACTGAGAAAATATAAATGTCCGGTATTTTCTAAATAAGCTGTAATGTACACTGTGATGTAATGTCAAGTGTGTCTGGTATTTTTGTTGAAGCATTCTGGCAATCCTATCTGTGAGCATAGGTAGAGCTCTGCCTGGATACAAAATTGATACCCACATCCAGATCTGCAAAAATGATTTGCTGCTACCCACAGATATAAAGCAGAAATAGTTGTATAGCCGCAGATTTGCAGGGCTCTAAGCATATTCCATGAGCCAGGTCAAGGTGTCACCAGGTTGCTACTTCCTGATGGCATCATATGTTTGCAGTGTTTTCACCTTAGCTCAACTGACTGTAGCTGTAGTTACTGTGACCATATTTTCTGAACCAAAAATAGGGACATGTTAGCCATGCCGTTAGCTTCATTAGCCATGCTCCGTGGTCCCTTAAGCCACACCCACCTGCCACATGAAGTCCCATCCCTGGAGGAAGTACTTCTGGGGTCAAGATGGACACATGACTGGAAGTAACGGGTGTCCTGTGACCCCTCTAAAAACTCCTCCCAAATCCTCTACCCTTAGGGATCTGTTTGGATTCCATAGGACCCCCCACCCCATGCAACTATACTACAATTGCATTAATCTAACTTGCATTGCATTAACTTGGGGGAAGAGTCCGGAGTGCCTCTATTTCAGAGGTTCTCAAACTTTTTGGCCCATGAACCACATGGCTCAATGTAAACCTGTCCACAGACCACCAGTTGCTAATGGAAATTCACCATTAATTACATAATTATGCCCGAGCCATTTTCTTACTGCTGCAGCTAGGGAGAATGGTTTAAATTAATAAATAGATTAATCATTTTAACTTCCTCATGTTAGTTTATCAAACTTTATTTTAAATAAAGTAAAATAATGTATGTCTAACACAAAAAGTTTCAATGTTTTCTTTATAGCAGGGGTGGGCTACCTTTTTTGGGTCGGGAGCCACTGAATCACAGAAAAAATCAGTTAAGGACCACTCAAGTGAGAAGCAAAAATACTCCTCACACAACCCCCCAATGCTAACTGTGGCCTGCAATTGAGACACCTTATTCCTCTGGCACTCCAGCCCTGTAGGGCAAGGAGAAGGGACAGGAAGGACTGAAGTTCAGGGCTTCTCATAGGTCAGATTTACTTTTGTGGTGGATTTTATGGATCTCCTTAGGTTCGTGGGTGGAAACAAAAATGAGTGGTTCAGTGTGTGGGGCGGGGCTGTCAGTGAGTGGGATAGGGATGGGGTACAGGATATGGGAGGGAGGTGGGGTGCAGAAGGGGGAGAGGTTGCAAGGTCTGGTTAGGAGGTACAGTGCAGAAGCAGGCTGGGAGTAGAGTGTCTGGCCAGGGGGAGGGAGCAGGAGCAAGGAGAGAGCAGTGTGTGGCAAGGAGGGAGGATGCAGGAGCAACAGTGAATGCAGTAGCAGGGTGGGGGTAGAATGTCTGGCTAAGAGGGAGGGTGCAGGAGCGGACTGGAGGTAGAGTGTCTGGCTAGAAGGGAAGGTGTCTGGCCAGAAGGGAGGGTGTCTAGACAGGAGGGTACAGGAGGGGATTTGGGGTAAGAATTGGACCTCCCTGGTCTGGCACCCTTGGTACTTGACTGGTCCCGGATAAGGGATTTTTCCAGATCAGGAGAGGTCATTTCAGGCTCCCTGCTACCCCATCCCCTCCCTATTGGGCTTCCTGGCTCCCCTCCACCCCTGCAGCCCAGCTGAGCGGTGCATCGGTTCCCTGCACATACCCTCCCCCCAGCCAGTCGGTTCTGTGCGTCCACTCCTCAGCCCTGCTGTTCCAAGATCAGGCCTAATGTTATAAAACTTACTGTTCAATTGGAAATCACAGTGTGCATGGTTGTAGCATTCCCTTCTGTATCTGTAAGTTTATTAGGACATTTAGCAAAGTCAAACACTGTGACCAGAAAGGTAGAGAAACATCATAAAGAATGTACATCTGAACATCCATATACT